CAAACCCGGGACCCTTTGGTCCACAGGCTGATGCTCTAACCACTGAGCCAAACTGACGAGGGCCAGAGATATTATTTTTAGGTCATTTTAGACCAAGATGGCTAGAGGGGCATATCAGCTCATCTCAAGGGAGATGTCTAGTTGTGGTTCATCCTGGCTCAAAGTGATTCTCTGGGCTTCTGTTCTTGGATTCCGAGGCCTCTGTGAGACCCAGATGGATTAGGTGCATCTTCCTTGCTCCTTCTCTGATCTTTAACCTTCCTCCTCCCTACACAACCCTGGTCCTCACAGAGAGATGCTTTGGAATCCACCCTGGCGGAGACGGAGGCCCGCTACAGCTCGCAGCTGGCCCAGATGCAGTGCCTGATCGGCAACGTGGAGGCCCAGCTGGCCGAGATCAGGGGTGACCTGGAGCGGCAGAACCAGGAGTACCAGGTGCTGCTGGACGTCCGGGCCCGGCTGGAGGGTGAGATCAACACGTACCGGGGCCTGCTGGAGAGCGAGGACTGCAAGTGAGTACCACTGCGCTCTCATCTTCTGAACGCAGTCCACACAGTTCTGGGGAGACAGCATGTGCCTGGGAAGAGCCCAGCCAGGAGCCTGGGTTTCCTTCTGGTCTTGTTACAAATTCATCACATGACCCGGGAAAATCTCTTTTCTCCCCTGGCCTCTGTTCCCCTTTTGGCAAAACAATGGGGCAGGGCTAGGTGATTTTTAAGTTACTCTGAGTTATGGAAAACAGCAACTGGAAAATCATACTAATCTGATCTTTTTCTTTCTCCTAGGCTGCCCTGTAACCCGTGTGCCCCGGAACCCTCACCCTCCAAGTCATGCCTCCCCTGTCTTCCCGTGGCCTCCTGTGGTCCTGGCGCAGCCCGCACGACCTGCAGCCCCCGCCCCATTTGTGTGCCCTGCCCGGGAGGCCGGTTCTGAGAGTGCCTAGGCCCAGAAAGCCAAGGCCACTGTCTCCAGGGCTTGGAGTTGGCCTCCGGTTAGCCCTAACCCTAAAGCCCCAATCCCTTCTCATGCAGAGCCCAGGGCCTGGTCCTAAGAGGCCTCACCGCAAATACACGCCATAAAGTTTCTCAAAGCCTGTCTCTAAGGCTGGCCGCTCCCGAAGGCCGCAACTCCTCGTCATTTCAATGGGTGCCAGGGTCTCTGTTCTCGGGCTGCCTCTTGGGTCAGCATTTCCTTCTGGGTGCTGTTCCGGTGGGTCCTGAAATGCAACAGAGGGATTCAGAACAATAAAGTGCATTTGCTCTGGCTCTCGATGCCTAAGTAGCACCATTCTGGATTGTTGGTTTGTGTCTCTGCTGTGTGAAGAGGGGTGACTCTTGGGCAGATGAATGGGGGATGCTTGACCATGTAGTAGTATGATGCCGGGGATGACAGGGTCCCTGTGCTCCTTTTTGGGGTGGGTAGAGGTCTACAGTGGGGCTTATTGTTCAGCTTTCCTGATGAAGACCTTTCTCCAAGAGTCCAGTGTGGTGGCAGATGTGACCAGACCCTCCCTACTATTCAGTATACACGGTCACCCTGGGATCCCAGAGGAGGAGAATAAATCTGGGGCCAGTACAATGGGAAGCATCTCAGGCCACTGCATTAGCTCATGTCTGTGGTCCTCCTAAGAGCAGCCGTATGAAGTCCCACACCAGGGTGCTTCTAGGAGCGTGCTTCCATCAGCCCCACTCTTCCATGGCAGCCTTTTCACGCAGGCCTCCCCGTTCAGCAACCCCCTGAACACCCACCCTCCAGCCAAAGCACGAGATCCGAGAGTGAGACAGCCACTGTGACATCCACCCACAATTCAGAGATTCTAGCCCTTAAGAGGCTCATCACCTTCTCGTGTGCCCTTGACGTCTGATAAGGCCCACCGTGGGTACCAAAGCATTTCAGCAGGAGGAGTGGGAGCTCCCAGCCCCTTGACCCAAAGGTTCTCACTTGGGCCCAGAATGTCCTCCCCCAACAGACCAGGTAGGGTCCAAGTTCCATCAATGCCAAGGGGAAGTGGAGAAGGATGAAGGCAAAGCTTTCTGAGATGGAAAGGAAGGCGGGTTGGCCCCAGATGGCCATGTGCTCTTTATAAGATGCCAAGAGCACATGCTGAGGAGCTTCAGTGATGGTAAGAGAGTTATAGCGACACTCAAGGTGGAAAAAAGATGGGGGAAGATGCTAAGGTAACGCTGAGGACCCCCCCCCCCACACACACACACATCTCTTAAGGGTGCCGAGTGTAGTTCACCCTGATTCAGTTTTAGAATCCTCCCCTTTCCAATCCCCTGGAAAGGAGGGTCTGGGGCTTCGGTTCTCCCAGCCCCCTCACTCCTGGCATTCTGCACCCCCTCAGCTTTGGGCTTCTTGGAACCCCTTGGCTGGTTTAGCTGAGGCTCAGCCAGCCAGAGAGGATGATGGTCTCAGGATCATTCAGTTCATTCAACAAACCCTTGCTGTGCACCTTCCTGGGCCAGGCGGTGTGTTAGGTGCCAGGGACAGAACTGAGCCTCATCCGAGGGAGGCCTTGGGATGGGACAGGAAGGAGCCCACTCTCCGTCTCTTTTCCTTCCTGTCCCTGGCACACCTACTGCCTGTGGGAGCTTTAGCAGGTGTAGGTCTCAGTGTCATCATCAGTAAAAGAGAACATGACAGTGACTGTGCCGGAAGGTCCCTAATGCTATGCTGAGCATTTGAAAACTGGCCAGTAATTATTGTGGACTCTATTCTAGCTGGATGCCTGGGTTGCTCGGAATGTGTGCACCCACCTTTTTCCTGCCCATGGTTTCATTTCTGAGGTTTCCTTCCAAGCAGCAATGAATGCCCAGGGCAAACCAGGCCAAAGTGGTTAAGTAGCTAGATGACTTATTAGCTAATTCTGACTCGGAGTAAAGTCAGTGGGAGAATCCACAGTCAGCGAGGGGTACACGCACCCTCCCTTGAGCACACAGCTTGGGTTAACTGTTTCACACAAGCCACACTCTCCTTCCCCTTCCCCTTCTCCTTCCCCTTCTCCTTCCCCTTCCCCTCCTTCTCCTCCTTCCCCTCCTTCTCCTCCTCCTCCTCCTCCCTCTTCCTCCTCCTCCTCACTCCCTCCTCCTTCCTCCCTCCTCCCTCCTCCTCCTCCTCCTAGTCGTCGTTATTCTTTGTGGTACAAGCCTCTTCCAAACCTACCCTAACTCCCTCCAAGATGGAGCACACCAGATCCTGTGCAGAAGGCATTACTATCTACTTTATTAGCTTGTGCTTTTCAATTGTAAAGCTGTTTCCACTTGGTCAGAGGTCCTTGGCCTTGAAACACATGGATGCCTGGTCTGAAATCCTGAAATCCTGACTTTGTGGGTCTGGAACAGGCCTGGTATTGGGGTTTATAAAAGCTCTGCACGTGATTCCAGGGAGCAGTCAGGCTGAGAGCCCTGCTGGCAAGGCCCCTGGGAGTTCAGGGGGCTCAGGGCGTCTCTGACATCGACCTCAGTACTGTCTGACCCCCATGGTGTACTTTTTAAAAAAATAGATTTTTATTGATTTCAGAGAGAGAGGGAGAGATAGAAACATCAATGGTGAGAGAGAATCATTGATCGGCTGCCTCCTGCACACTCCACACTGGGAATCGAGTGCCCCGACCAGGAATAGAACTGTGACCTTCTGGTTCATAGGTTGACGCTCAACCACGGAGCCACGCGGCTGGGCTAACCTAACCTTTTCAATTTGCACGAGGAAACTGAGGCCCAGAGAGGTAAAGTGACTTTCCCAAGGTCACACAGCAAGTTAGAAGGTCATAATCTCTCTCTTGACTCTTCTTAAGCAATGAATTTCTGGGAATAGGGCTGGGTGGGGTTTTCTCTTCCCTGCCTCTCCACCTAATACTTCTAGAGATAGGTGAAAAACAGGACAAGTGCTTATGCTCCAATATTATGTTGAGAAGATGAAGGAATAGGACACGGCTATATAACACACACACATTAAACATGACATGTGTGAGCTGGCGGGTATTGCAGACAAGGACTGAAACCACGGGTCTCACCTGTTGCTTTCTTAAGGAATGTCAGGGCTCCTATGACTGCAGATACCTGTCCCCAGCTCCTGGCACAGCTCATCCCCAGGCTGCAAAGTGTTACTTCTCAAGGGAGCTGATGCCCCCTGCCTCCCCTCTCTGAGGCCCCGACAGGAGCCCTCCCTGTCCACCATTGCAGAAAGGGAAAGTAGGGCCAGTGCCAGCCTGGCCAACCTCCATCTCAGCAAACAAGACCCGAACTTGACTTGCATTGCTCACTGCTCCCTGTATGTAGAGCAGTGAGCAATGAAAGGGTGATCCAGAGCCGGTCAAGATAGAGCATCTGCCTCACGGAGGCGTCCAGGACATTGAAGGTTTTCTCCCCGAGTGGCATTCCCGCATCTTTCTCAACGGTGTCCAGCTGCAAGGCTGTCCCTGGCTCTTAAGGCTTTCTGACTTGAGTTTGTTCTCTTGCCCCAGATATTATTTCTTCCCCTGGGGAGGAAGCTGATCCGTGCTCCGAAGCCTCAGAGGTTCTCTTCCCGACCTGCCTGGATTTCTACCGCTGCCGGTATCGATGCAGCTTCTGTCACCCACACACTTCCTCCTTCAGGGACAGGTCTCTTCCCACAGGGAACGCTCTCATTAAAAGGAGTGCCCGCCGGCCCATAGACTGTGCCTTTCTCAGGGCCGGAGCAGGCGGGGGCGCGGTGGGCCAGGCCCCAGGGGGCACAGGGCCAGGCCACCGTGGTCTCCTGGCGACCCCGCCCTGGTAATGAGGGCCCAGCGTGGAGCCGATCCTTTGAAGATGTGTCCGGAAACTCTCCCCTGGTGATCAATGACAGGAGGCCTGCTTTAGCCAAATGACAAGCTTGGTCTCTTTTATGAGGAAAGGAACTGCTTATTGGAAACCAAATTACAAATTAATTAGCAGCTTCCTCTGAGGCCGAGTGTACACATCAACACCGCTTTCTAGGGCGAGCCCCCTCACTCCAAGGGGATAAAAGGCCCCAGAGGGATGGGGTCTGTAGGTGTTGGCAATCCAGGTAGCTGCAGCTGAGAGAAGGGGCCTCCCCTACATGGCATCCAACTGCCCACCTGCCTCCAACAAGAGCTGCCCCCGGGCCTCCTCTGTCTGCTCCAGCGGCATGAACTGCCGGCCCGAGCTGTGCCTGGGCTACGTCTGCCAGCCCATGCCTTGCGTGCCTTCCGTCTGCCTGCCCACCACCTACCGGCCGGCCAGCTGCCTCTCCAAGACCTACCTCTCCAGCTCCTGCCGACCCAGCAGCTGCCGGCCCGCCGCTGGCATCTCCAGCACAATGGGGACCTGCAGCTGGCTCTGTGAAGGGACCTTCAATGGCAGCGAGAAGGAGACCATGCAGTTCCTAAATGACCGGCTGGCCAACTACCTGGAGAAGGTTCGGCAGCTGGAGCAGGAGAACGCCAGCCTGGAGAGCAAGATCCAAGAGGCCTGCCAGTCTCCAGTGCCCACCATGTGTCCTGACTACCAGTCGTACTTCAGGACCATTGAGGAGCTGCAGCAGAAGGTGAGAGCGGGCGCTGAACAGACTGGGAAGGCAACTGGAACGGCAGGCATCTAGATTGGAATCTCATCGTTTACCAAGCTATGTTCAGGGAAAAGAGGCTTCCCCAGGGCACAGAATGATCTCATCATTGGAGCACCCAGCCAGAGCCCTTAACGTGGAAAGGGGCCTGGGATGTAGTCTCCATTGCATGACTTTGGGAGGCCCCTTCCCTTCCCTGGGCCTCAGTTTCCCCATCTGTAGAATGGGGATAATAATGGTCCTTACCTAATGGGGCTGCCAAGAGGATTCCCTGAGTTGATGCAGGTCAAGCGCTGAGCACAGCCCCTGGACCGGGGTGGGTTTTCAGTAAATGTTAGTGCTGATGAAGGACCCTTCTAACTGTCCCATGAATGACTTCAGACTTAATGAGAGTCTCTCCTTCCGTATTGCTCATTGTAGCCAGAATGGGGTATTTGGATTTTTGCACACCCAGGTGCTTAAGAAATAAAACTCATGTCTTTAAGGATGAGCAGTTCACTAAAGTACGCCCCCGCCACCAGAGTTCCAGGGAGGAGGGGCTTCTGTAGCGATGGCTGCTAGGCTGCTGAGCCCCCCAGCTACTGTCTTCTCCTCCTTGGGTTCTTATCCTGGACTGACCCCCTCTGTGTGCTTCGGCCTCCAGGTTCTGTGCACCAAGGCAGACAACGCCAGGATGGTGGTGCACATCGATAACGCCAAGCTGGCTGCCGACGACTTCAGGACCAAGTGAGTTTGGCCGGGGATGGGCGCCCTCTCTCCCCGCACATGCTTGGGGGCAGCTTTCCATTCACTTCATGGAGAGTCGGAGAAGTGCCAGCAGTTGAAGGACTCCCCTGGTTTCCGTCTCCACCCCTCACTGTTGACCCTGTCCTTGTGCAGGTACGAGACGGAGCTGGCCCTGCGGCAGCTGGTGGAGGCCGACACCAACGGCCTGCGCAGGATCCTGGACGAGCTGACCCTGTGCAAGGCCAACCTGGAGGCCCAGGTGGAGTCCCTGAAGGAGGAGCTGCTCTGCCTCAAGAAGAACCATGAGGAGGTGAGCCCGGAAGTCAGGCAGAAACAGATCGTGGGAAATACGTGGGGCTTCGGGTCAGACCGACGTGGGTTGGAATTCCCAGGCCTGCCACGTGTTGTTTCTGTGACTTTGCCCAGTGCCTTTCACCTTTCTGAGCCTCCTTATCTATACACGGGAGCAACACTATCAGACTGGGTTGCTTTGAGAATTCAGTGAGGTCTGGGGCTTGAAACACCTGTCCCTGGGTCGGTGCTCAGAAACGCTAGCCATCTTCTCTGCACTCCCTGGACTTGCGTGACTGCCAGGTGCTTTTCCACGGCGTTTGTTTTTCTCCTGAGAGCCAAGCTCCAGGGGCCGGTTGGTGCACTGGAACCTGGGGGTTGTGTTCTGGAACTCACACCTGCCCGTCTCTGCCAGGCTGGACTGCTGGGTGCCCCATGTCTTCTCAGGGGCAGTTGAACTGCCGTGGTTTCCTTCCTTCTGTCCTCATCCTTGTCTTCCTTCTTCTCTTCTGTTTGCATCTAATAGACTTAATCCACGAGCCTCAGGTCAGCCCTTTCTGGCTTTCCCTCCTCTCCTGCAGGTCCTGGCGGGAATGCTGAGCGCCCACCCGAGCTCTGGTGTTTTTCCCTCCTTCCCTGGGTTGACTCTCAACCTCTTGACTTGGCACTTGAAAGAACAAGTGTCTCTGATTCCTGGCTGGGTTTCCTTAAGTGTAAAGTAACAAACCGCACGTATTTGCCAAGTGCCCTAAGGTACCTGACTCATCCCACCTAATCAGGGAACTGGGGCCTGAACCAGAAGCCACTAATGAGGCGCTATCGCACACGCTGGAGCCTCAGTGACAACTTTCTCTCCTTGGCAGCCAAGCCTGCGGAGGCGCCTGCTCTAACTTGGCCTTGAACCAAGCGAAGCCAGGCTTTTGCTGCCCCGCTTCCCAGATGAACACGCGGGGAGGGTGGCCGGGTGAGCCCCGAATCCCACAACTTCACACGTGCCTGGGGCTCTCGCTCCTTTTCAGGAAGTCGGCACCCTCCGATGCCAGCTTGGGGACCGCCTTAACATTGAGGTGGACGCTGCGCCCCCTGTGGACCTGAACAGGATGCTGGAAGAGATGCGGTGTCAGTACGAGACGGTGGTGGAGACCAACCGCAGGGACGTGGAGGAGTGGTTCAACACGCAGGTGGGCCTCTCGCCGGTGGGCGGCCTCGCCAGTGTCCCCGCGAAGGCACTCCCAGCCTCTCCTGTCTCCCCCCTTGCAGATGGAGGAGCTGAACCAGCAGGTGGCCACCAGCTCTGAGCAGCTTCAGACCTACCAGTCGGACATCATTGATCTGAGGCGAACAGTCAACACACTGGAGATCGAGCTGCAGGCCCAGCACAGCCTGGTGAGTGCCCCTGGGGGGGGCACCTCTTCCGCAGCTCTGGCTCCCAGCTGGCACCGAGCGTAGGTACGGGCATCCCGGAAGGAGGAGGAGGAGGAGGCCCAGATGCAGCTACTGGGGATGCTCGCCCAGCTGACCTTTCTTGGAGGGAGGTTTCTCCCAAGACCCAGCTCAGAGATAAAACGGGTGACCCAGATCTGACATGAGTTAGGTGGCTGCGGTCAAAAACGACTCCTCGAGAACGTTTGTGCTCTGCTTAGCCTGCCCTTCCAAACCCGTGCTTCCCCACCTGTGAAGATTTAAAGAACCAAATGCCCAGGTTCCTCCCCAGGAGAATGAAATCAGAGTTTCTGGAGGCGGGGCCGGGGCCTGGGTGACGCTAACATGCAGCCAGGGTTAAAGACCACTGTTCCCAATGATGCCTGAGGGAAGGAGCCCGGTGAACCTCAGACCCAAAGCCTGAAGGCAGACTCGGGTTGGAGAAGGAAGAGGGATTTAGGATCACATGGACCTGTGTTCAAACCCTGGTCCGTCACTTACCAGCTGCTTAACCTTGAACAAGTCACTTGGCCTTTCTGGGCTTTAGTTTCCACAGTGACTCAGGTAAAGAGGGGTCATTCTCAACCCCCAAGAGAGACTTGGCTCTTTCTGGCTCTTCCTGAGTCAGGCCGTGGAAAATAGATCTGTTCCTCATAATTATTTCATCTTCTCCTTTCCTCAGAGGGACTCCCTGGAGAACATGCTGACGGAGACCGAGGCCCGCTACAGCTCGCAGCTGGCCCAGATACAGTGCCTGATCACCAACGTGGAGGCCCAGCTGGCCGAGATCCGCTGCGACCTGGAGCGGCAGAACCAGGAGTACCAGGTGCTGCTGGACGTCCGGGCCCGGCTGGAGTGTGAGATCAACACGTACCGGGGGCTGCTGGAGAGCGAGGACTGCAAGTACGTGGGCCCAGCCGAGGCTGTGCCGGGAGATGCGTGGGAGGTTGGGGAAGCCGCCCTCCCTAAACCGGGCCCATTGAAGATCCTGTTCCATCCCAAGTCAACAAACTCCTTCCAAGGCCCAGCGTGTGCCAGGCGCCAGGGGAAGACCCAGATGGATGATGATAAGGCATCTGCTCTCAAGTTGTTCCCATCTGTTTAGAGAGCCAGGCAGATGAGCAACTGGAGATCATACTGGGGCCGCGGGCGGGGTGGGGGGTGGGGAGGCGAAGGATGGTTTCAGCACTGGGAGGGGAGTAAGTAGCTTCATGGGAGTAAGTAGCTTCATGTGATGATCTGGGTGGGAGGCGGACAGGAAAGGTCAGTTGGGGCCCATTCATGGAGAGGGAGGGTTTTATTTTATAGGCAATGGGGAGGCCTTGCTGTTTTTTGAGGAGGAGATGATAGAATTTAACTGCGGATCTCCCTCACTGGAGGGTGAATGAGTACCTGGACCTCAGAGACAATATAAAATATTTTTACCTCCTGCACCTGGCACATAGTAGATGCTCAGTAAATATTTCTTGACCAAGTCAGTGAGAGCTCACAGCTGCTCCTCAGGAAGATGCCACAGATGGCAGGCAGAGGAAGGGCTGAGTAGAGGGAGGAGAGACCGGGCAGGGACACTGTTCAGGAGGCCCTCATGGCCTAGAGTGGTCGGCAAACTCATTAGTCAACAGAGCCAAACATCAACAGTACAACGATTGAAATTTCTTTTGAGAGCCAAATTTTTTAAACTTAAACTATATAGGTAGGTACATTGTTATTAACTTAATTAGGGTACTCCTAAGGCTTAGGAAGAGCCACACTCAAGGGGCCAAAGAGCCGCATGTGGTTCACAAGCCACGGTTTGCCAACCACGGATTTAGTCAATTATTAAGAGTCTGCTCTAGGCCAGGTATGCAGGGGGCATGCATCCATGGCTGCTCACCTCACTGCTCACTGGGAGCGAGTTCATACTAGAATAATCACACCGCTCTGGAAGGAGGTACATGGTACCACAGGGGGATTTGACACAGAGAGACCCAGGGGGGGCTTCAAGGAGGAGGTGACCATTGAGTTGAAGGAAGTTGCTCTTTGTCCTGAGTACAAATGGGAGGCTCTGAAGGTCTTAAGCAGGGGAGGGAGATGATTAGATTTGTGTTTGTGGAAGATCGCTCTGGCCACCAAGTTAACAGTAGCTACAAGGGGCAACAGTGGGGTTGGGAGACCAGTAAGGAGGCCATTGGGGTCACAGAGATGAAGACGATGAAGGGTGGGACCAGGGAAGTAAGCAGAGAAGGTGAGCAGTGGGTGCATTTGGGAGGCATTGGGGGCAGAACCTGCTGCCCACTCCGGCTTCTTTAACCCCTTCACGTGCCTTTCCTCCGCAGGCTGCCCTGTAACCCGTGCTCCACTCCCTCGTGTCCCCCCTGTGTGCCCTCCCCCAGTGTGCCCCGCACCGTCTGTGTGCCCCACACTGTCTGTGTGCCTTGCGTGCCCTGCCCCCCGGGCCGCTACTGAAGCCCCTCAGTGCTGGTGGATGGATCCTGGAAGGACCAGAGCTGGACAGCCGGTGCCTCTGCAAGTCGAGCCTGACCTGGGTTCGGTGGCCACCAAGAGAGCCGGGCCAACAAGGAAGACTGAGCAGTGCCAGGTGGGCCGTCTGTCCGAAAGGCGCTCTGATACTGCAGGGGGCGCCCTGGCCCCCATCTCTTAGTAACAGCCTCTCCACAGGCTAATTTGCTGATGTTTCTAGTTCTCTGCTGCCTCAAGAGCCTGTGTCCTTAGTCAACTGGCAAATAAAGCCTCATTCAGTGGCCCTGCAAACATCTTTCTCTATTTGTCATTTACGATGCTGTGTCCATCAGCCAGTACCGCTGCTTAGTGGGCATCAAGAGGAATGCGGCCAAATTCTGTATTTGTTGTATGGCCCTGCTTCCACAGAGGCTTGAGAGGCATTTGCCAAAAAGGCCCACATGCCAGAAACCAGTTAAAACCAGGCTACTGGTTCAGAGCCAAGTAATAAAAACATAAAAAGAGGAGGGAGATAATTATGCCGGGAACTTAGGCCAAACAACTGTAGATGAGAATATTCCTGTGATGATCCCACCCTAAACCTCATGGCAGCTGGTACAATGGGGTCATTCATTTATTCATAATATCCTTACTGATTGCTTGGGAGGTGAAGGTTCTACATCATGGGCTGGTTACCCCAGGCAGTGGCCCCCCAGACACCTTGTTAATGCCCCATTAAATCCTTGCAACAATCTATGAAAAAGGCACCATTATTTTCTCCACTTTACAAATGAGGAAACTGAGGCCCAGAGAGGTTAAGAATCTTGCTCAAGATCACACAGTGAGTAAGTGGTGGGCCCAGGATCCAAACACAGTCCTTCAGGCTCCGGAGATGCTCAACCAATTCATATTCTCAAGTAGTCCTCACTATTTGCAAACAACAGCTGGGGGCTAGGGCATACCAAAAATGCAAGTGATCCCCACCATCCAGGCACTTCTAATTAGAGAAGGAGCTAGAACCAGTGTGTAAGGCCTCACTCATGCCTCAATAAGGGCCTAGTAATAAAATAATAATAACCATTTCTGCCACCTACCGAGCACTTGTGATGCACCTTATATTGTATTGCGCACATTACATAAATTAACTTATGCAGTTTTCATGACCGTGTCCATCTTAGAGATGGGAAACTGAGGTGCAGAGAATGGTTTAGTCAGTTGCCCAAAGCTACATGCAAGGATAAAGATTTGGACCCAGGTCTAGCTGCTTCCACTGTAGCATTATTCTAACCACTCTGCCTCACTGCCGAATTCCAGAGTATACACACGACACAGACTGGGAGAAAGTCCTGGTTTGGGGAGAGCAGAGAAGGCCTCAAGCATGTCCAACTTGTGGTCCGCGGGCCGCATGCCTCGTTTATTTGGCCTGTGTTAGCCTTTGAGTCTGACATGCTTGATGTAGCTGGTGGCATCTGAGATTGGCCTGGAAGGTTGAATAGGATGTCTACGGTACAAAAGAGAGGTATAGGTGTGGGTTCTGCAGGAAAGCAGAAGTCATATCTGGGGAGGAGAGTGGGGAGCGCATGAGTGGCCCTCCTGGCGGGAGCAGCAGGTTCCTGTGACAGACTGGTGGAAATAAAGCTGAAATGGTAGGAAGGTCAGACCGTGGGGGGCCTTGGTTACCCCACAAAGAGCCTGGACTCCATCCTGAAGGCAGTGGGAGGGCTACTGCAGGCCTTGAGCCCAGATGACATGACTGGGGTGGGGGGTGGGGTATTGTAGAAAGTTTCACAAAGGAGTGTAACCAGGACAGCTGAGAGGCAGGGAGAGCTGATGAACAATGTGGCAGAAGCTGAAGGGGTCTCAGCAATGGCAGTGGGGAATGGAATAGTAAGGGATCGACTGGGGGAACTCAGTGAAGGGCCCAACTTGGCAACGTCAGATAAAGAGAAGAAAGCCGGGAGCAGGAATCTTGAACACCTTTTTGCACCTCACCCTCTGAATGCGTAGTTCTTCCTTAATGAGCTGAGGTGATGTTTCTATTAAGAATCTGCCCTCTGGACCTGCCAAGAAATGATGAGAGATGGAGTGGCTCCTGACGCTGCCCGAGGCTGTTCAGACAGGATTCCACATGCCTGGCAGACAGGGCCATGAGCCTGACGGGAGACACACAAACACACTGCTCAGCCGCTGTGGTTCCTGGTTGTGTGTGTGTGTGTGTGTGTGTGTGTGTGAGAGAGAGAGAGAGAGAGAGAGAGAGAGATTTTAATGAGCTGGAACGCCATGGTAGGGGGGCTTCTAATAACTGAGCACAAACTGGCATTCCTTACTTTTAGTCCCTGTGCAAAATTTGTCCAGAATGTGCTCAGCTTGATTAACATGACAGACTAAACAGAACCAACTCTTTGGCTCTAAAATCCTAGGCCCATTCTGTCCAACATGGTAACCATTACCTACACTGGGCTGTTTAATTTCTCATTAAATAAAACAGATCCAGAGACACAGAAGCATGGAACAGACTGATGAATCTCAGAGGGAAGGGGAGATGGGAAGAGATTAATCAAAGAGCTTATATGCACACTAGAGGCCTGGTGCACAAATCCGTGCATGGGTGGGGTCCCTTGGCCTGGCCAGCATCAGGGCCGATCAAGGCTGGCCGGGAGAGGGACCGTGGGAGGTTGGCCGGCAGCAGGAGGTTGGCTGTGGGAGCACACTGACCACTAGGGGGCAGCTCCTGCATTGAGTGTCTGTCCCCCGGCGGTCAGTGAGTGTCAGCGACCAGTTGACTGGTCATAATGGTCACTTAGGCTTTTATATATATAGATATGCATAACCCATGGGCACAGACAATGGTGCGATAGGCCTGGGGGAGTGCGGGTGCAGAGTGTCAATGGGGGGGCATTTTAAATACTTTCAACAATAAAGATAAACTGAAAAGAAAGAAAACTTCAGTCACACTAGCCACATTTCAAGTGCTCAAGGCCTTTGCATGGCTGGTGGTACGACACTGGTGTGTACAGATAGGGACTATTTCCATGACTGTAGAAAGTCTATTGCACGGTGCTGTCCTAAACTATCAGAATCAAAAGCAGCCCTACAGTTGGCCTGGCCCAGCCTCTCATTCACAGACGAGGAGTCTACAGGCCCAGGTTGATGGAAAGATGTGCTCACAGACACACAGCCAACAGGTGGGAACTGGAGCCAAGTGTTCTGACGCCAGCCAGCGGGTCTCTTCGAGCTTGTTATGCTTCCTCCAAGCACCAAGATTTGTTATTCTTTCAGGCTAATAAACATTTCCCCTTTCCCCTTCTTTCATGCCCCTAAGAACAGAGGCACTTTCTCTGAGATGCTGAAACTCTTTCCTGGGAATATAGTTTTCCTTTAAATAACAACTAGCAACCTCCAAACTCAGCATCCCCTCATCCTTCATGCATCTGGCTCAGTAACAGCACAGACCACGGGCTGTAGCCAGAGTTGCCATGGGAACAATCACACTAGAGTTGTGACTCAGGCATCTAGGCCCCTGGACCTCATGCAGACTTCTGCAGGCTCCTTCCCCACCCGCCTGCCCCCAGCACATACTGTCCAGTCCAACCTAACCCTTGTTCCCACACCTGTGTGTCCTCCGACTTGCCAAGACCTGTCTGACCACCCAAATGCCCGTTAAAGCTTTTTATGTGAAACCAAGCCCTGCAGCCCAGGGCCAGGAGTGCCACCCCCTGCTGGGCACAGATGGCCACCACCTTCAGTGTTTGGATGGTACTTCCAAGTTAGAGACCTCCTGAGCTGTCCTCCTGCCTAGCCCATCTCTCTTATTTGATGAATGAGGAAGACGGGGGCACAAACTTTGGGAAATACGTCCACCAGCACCAGGACCTTCTGGTAACTGGACCCAGTGCTACCCACATGGGGGATTCTCAAAGGAACCGTGTCCTCATATCAAAGCGTTTGGCTTTAATTAACCCTGGTTTATAGGAAGACTTAGGCAGGGCTATGGGAAAGCAATAAAACCTCTGGTGTATTTGATGTTCGGGAGAAACTCCCACAGGTAGCAGGATCCTTTCCAGGTGGGAGTGAAAAAGAAAGAACTTGGGTTTCAAAGCTGCAACTCTCCCTGAGGCCATTAAAGAGTCTGGGACTCAGGCCTGCCCCTCACTGTCGGGGAAAGAGGCCGCCTTCTGAAGCAGGAGTGAGGACCCACCGGGCAGAGCTGCCTCCAGGAAGCCTGGCCAGAGGGCGATGACTCTCAGAGAGAAAAGTCCAGGAGTTGGACACAGTGACTAGGGGACGGGTGAATTGTGGACTGAAATGCACTAAGTCAATCTCCCCCTACCATACTAGGGACACTTTCACAGCATGATCAAGAAAAGGTATGCCCAGCCCAGCCTGGCCCGGCCGGTGTGGCTCAGTGGTTGAGCATCGACCTATGAACCAGGAGGTCATGGTTCAATTCCTGATCAGGGCACATGCCCAAGTGACAGGCTCTATCACCAGTAGGGGGCATGCAGGAAGCAACCGCCCAACGACTCTCTCTCATCATTGATGTTTCTCTCTCCCTCTCCCAAATCAATAAAAACATATTTACCAAAAAAAGGGTATGCTAGGAGATAACTGGGAAAATCATCAACAATAAAAAAACTATCTTTTGGGGTTTCATACATTTTAGCACACGAATACAATGATCTCAATTTTGCTAAACAGCAAGTTCCTTTGAAAGATCGTTTGATGGCTTATCTTTTGAACCATTGGTTGAGATAGGCTTATTTCTGCATAGTCCTCTCCTGTAGCCAAGCACACAGATGAGCATCTTGCCATATGGAAACCATCAGTGCTGCTGGCTTCCGAAATCCTGGGCTGGTGTCCTAATTCCACTGCGAACATGCTGTGTGATTTAGGCAGATCCCCCAACCTCTATGTATCTCAGTCTCCTTCTCCCCTTTGGAAACAGGGGTAATTCTACCTCCTTCCCAGAGTCATTGGGATGAATGCATCCAAAATGCCTAGCACGATGCCAATATGTTGTAAGCTTGGTTGAGGAAGATCTGCTTTGCAACAAGTGCCCCTGTCTTCTGAGTCTCCCCAATGTCTATGGCAGCTGAGTCACTTTTCTGAGCCATTTTGAAGCTCAAGTTTCAGAAATAACAGCAGCAGCCGCAGCAACAACGACACACAGACAGCTTTGCTTTGCTGCAAAACTATAGAACATCTGGATCGACTCTCAGTCTTGGTCTAAATGCCTCAGTAAAGTGGAGGGTCCAGTATCCGAGACCCAGAGTCCAGTACTGGAGTCCACTTGGGT